AATAGTATCGACCCTGGTTCTCCTTTCTTCTGCGATGGAGTGCTTAATTCCTTCATAAATCATTCCTCTCAGAACTAAAGTAAATTTATATTCTCCAAAATTACCTACGTCGTTGTGGATATTCAGTTGATGTTCGTTTACAATGATGTGGCCAGTATCATGACTACATTTAAATTATTTTTTCTTGACCTTTGTAGCTGTTGTACTTCCAGCCTTCCCTCTTTCGTCAGTCTTCATGACCTTGTCGTATCAGTCCTTCACTCTACACAGGTTTCAAATTCAAATTCAAATTCAAAGTTTATTCTCTATAAGGATTACAATGCTGAGTTTACAGAATTTGGTTATTGTGTGGTTTACATGTAGTAAAATAATAATTACAGAGTGTACCACTAGAACACCTAGCATGGCTAGGCATTTCGGGCAGACTTAGATTAAATCTTAAATTTAAAATATTACAAATTATGAGGTAAGTTGGTATTATGGCTGACTAAATACTAGTTTGTGAGTTTAGCAATGTGAATGCTTTTGTTTTGGCATAATACATAGTTTCAGTATTGGAGTATCACAGGCCAACTTATGACTAGTTAGGATTCATTATTTTAAGATTGAGATTGATATTTCTGTTTATGGTCAAATGGGAGAGTGAGTGTAAGTGTGAACCACCAGGTGGTATTCGTGTAATTAGTTGACAGGGTGTATCAGGGAGAAAGATGTTTTCAAAATGGTTTTTTTGAAAGGTTGATGAAGGGGTTCTGCAGTTCTAAAGTTTTCGGGTAGGTTTTCCAGTTTTTAGGGCCTTTGAATACATTAAATTTTTTGAAAAGGTTTAGTCGGACACGGGGAATTTTGTAGGATGTTTTGTCTGGTGTTATGCTGTGGGTTCTGCCAACTATCAAAAAAAGCTTTTAGGTCATGGACTTTTGGGGAATTTAAGGTCCTGTAATGTAGATTGCACAGTAGTAAGTGTAGATGTACTGAACGGGAAAATTTTTGATCAGAAGGGGGGGGGGGGTTGTTCCCGGGGAGGGGTTTTAGTGTTTTTCTTACTGGGCTTTTTTTTGGGGATTTTTGTTTTTAGGGGGGGTTCTGCAGTTATCCCCAACACAAATAGCATAGGTGAGTAGGGTAAAAAAAATTAGTGATATAGTTGGGGAAGGGGATTTTCGGGGCCCGAGTTGTTCTTGGAGAGGGTCCCAACCGTTTTTGGTACTTTTTTTTTATGTTTGGATAGGGTCTGAAATTCAGGTTTTGTCGAGGGTTTTGGCTAGGAATTTGCCCTCATTATGTTGGGAATTAGAGTGTTGTCGATCTTAATGTTATTTTGCGCAACTCCTGCTCTGCTACCAAAAATAATGTAGTAGGTTTTGTCAGGTTAAGCTAAGTTTATTTGGGTGTCAAACCCAAATCATATTTTTATCAGCCCCTCGTTAACAAGGTGTGAGGGGGGCAAGATTAGGGTGGGAGATGACATAAGTTGTGTCGTCAGCAAAGAGAATGGGGTTCAGGTGTTGGGATACGTTTCCGTATAACTTGCCCGGTGTTTTTCTGGTATGTATTTTGTCCACTGTTTACATCGACAGTAGAGATACATACAGTTACCCCGTCAAACATGGTATAAATCTGTAAGGGAAGGAAGGCGGGGTAGGGGTCGTCCTCGAAAAGGTTGGAGGGAGGGGGTAAAGGAGGTTTTGTGGGCAAGGGGCTTGGACTTCCAGCAAACATGTGTGAACGTGTTAGGAGTGAATGGATTCGAATGGTTTTTGGGATCTGACGAGCTGTTGGAGTGTGAGCAGGGTAATATTTAGTGAAGGGATTCAGAGAAACCGGTTATTTTTATATAGTCGGACTTGAGTCCTGGAAATGGGAAGTACAATGCCTGCACTTTAAAGGAGGGGTTTGGGATATTAGCAGTTTGGAGGGATATGTTGTGTATCTTTATACGTATATGCTTCTAAACTGTTGTATTCTGAGCACCTCTGCAAAAACAGTGATTATGTGTGAGTGTGGTGAAAGTGTTGAATGATGATGAAAGTATTTTCTTTTTAGGGATTTTCTTTCTTTTTGGGTCACCCTGCCTCGGTGGGAGACGGCCGACTTGTTGAATAATATATATATATATATATATATATTATATATATAATATATATATATATATAAATATAATAGTCGTGCCTAATAGGTAAAGCTGGTCAATTAGCAAGAACTCATTTAAAATTAAGTCCTTTCTAAAAATTTCTCTTATACGTTTAAAGATATATTTTTTTTATTTATATTAATGCAAAAATTATTAATTTTGTACCAAAAGAGCCTTAGAAAACTTACCTAACCTTATTATAACAAGCACAATTGAATTTATCCTACTCCAACTAAATATATTTTAGATAAATTTACAAAAAAATAATATTAAACCAACGGAATGAAGCATATTTTTTTCGTTAGGTTCAGAATGATTTTTGCGAAAGTACTGCTTACACAAATTTTCGCTTGCTCTATTCAGCAAGAAGAGCGTTGCTATTTAAGCCAAAATAGCAAGTTTTTCCTATTCGGCACGACATATATGTGGAGCAGTGGAGGTCCCGGGAAAGATCCTTGCGGAACACCTTTCGTCACCCTTTTTTCATCACCTTATCTCTTCCCTCACTATTATTTTTTTTTCCACTTTGTTATTCCTTGATCAGTTGCAACTGTTATTGTCGTCTCTTCCTCTGTAGGAATTAGACGCTTGTGATGCACGCTTTTAAATAACTCATTAATATCTAAGAATGAACAGTTCACCCAGGCTTGTCTTCCTAACATGATGTATTGTTCCATATATAAAGGAAGTCCAGTAGATTTATGGAATAGTTCTCTAATCCCATGATGGTTCTAGTCTTTGATGACGTTTTTCTTCGGGCATTTCATTACTTTCTTTATCTTCCGCGTCTTTTATCAAGATATATTAATTAAGAAAACCCGGTTGGCTTTTATCCTTGTGTTATAATATAAAAACGTCTGTTGTTTACATTTTTTTGGAAGGTTCCCTGTTTTTAATGACTATTGTAAAAATTCCCGCAGTGTTCCATTTTTTTCCAACTTGACTCTTGATTAGGAAAAAGGGGAAAGGGATGCACAGAGAAAGATGGATGCGAGATGGGGCAAGAACGGTTGAGAAAATGGTACGGAATATAAAAGAGGATAACAAAGGGTTGCAGGTGGGGAAATTTCAAAGCGGAGTTATTAGTGGTCGTGTTAACCCCATGTATAATTTAACTTTCATAATCCCTTTTAATGCTTTCCCCCTTGTTTACTACCCCAAGGAAAGGATTTTTTCTATTCTTCTAGCTATGTGAAGATCTTTCATTTAGGGTCCGCTCGTTCTTTTTCCTTTCCCTCTTCTTGGGGCGTTTGTGTGTACTCCCTAATTGTGGTTGTGGGGTATAGTTTTAACCCCGGGCCCCCTCTTCTCTGCTGGTTTATGGTTACGCTCACGGTAAGCCAGCAAAAGGGCCGGGTCAGATGGAAAAACCCCAAATGGCGGGTATCTATGACTAAGACCCGCGTCAGGAGACATTGCCCCTTTTTCCTGAAAAATTTGGTACCTAACTGCTTAACTCTTTTGGGGGTTGTTTGTGTGTGTGTATACTCCCAATTGGGTTGCAGGGGTCGAGATAGCCCCGGCCCCCGCCTTTCCTGGTCGACAAGTCCTCTCCCCGCTCCCTAAGCTTTTTCAAATCTCGTTGTTTTTGTGTGTGGTCAGATGTCAGAGGTACCGTTTTACAAACGCACTAAATTGTTTTTGGGGAGAAAAAAAATAATTCCCGTCAAATAATAACAATTATCTCCTTAAAATTTTTTGTAAAAAGTGTCCCTCCTCGTCAACCTGTGGTCGAGGGGCCCTTCCTCTTACGTAACAGAAACTCAAAATTTCTTTACTGTCAAGCACAATGTGGGAAAAGATAAAATTATTATTCCTGATCCTTTCAATCCCCAAAAACCATAGCTAATATAAGGTATACAATGAAGTCATGACAAGATGAACTGGGTTTAAAAAAAAGTTGAAAAAACTCTCAGCCAAATGCGAGTGAAGATTTCCAAGCCAAATTTTTTTCTCGGTGAAGAGGGCCCCTAGAGACGATGGCCCAGGTCTGCCCAAAAAGGAATCAGAGCGATGGTCATGTTTCTTGGCCTTAAAAGGCCCCGAGATGGGACCAAAAAGTAAATATACACCATACCCCCCCGGGGTTGAACCCGCGGTCAGAGACTTGCTTTGGGGGTCACAGGGGTTTTCCTGTGCAACTTCCTAGGTGTAGAAATAACCTAGTTGGAAAATTAATGTTGAAACTGTCTAGTTGGCATAACGTTCCAAGGCCGAGTTTTTTTGGGGAAAGACTCCTGAGCGGGTTCAGGTCCCGGCCAGGGGGTCATGTTTTTGGTTAAAGGCCTATGCAACAGATAGACCAACTTTATATCCCGAACGTCGGATTAACACGGGGTAGGCTTCTTAAAGTGGGCGTGAACTTTCGGGAATAAAGTTGGCTAATCTGTTGCTATGTGTCTAGTGGCTAACAACCGGTGGGTATTGATACCATTTGAGGGGTTAAATGGGGTTGGGTTTTTGCAATCGTGTCATTACGATTTCGTGAGTCATGTAAATATACACGTACACCTCAAGACAACTAATCCGTAAATTTTAAACGAAACCTACGGCAGACTAACAGGGCGTAAAGATTTTTTCTAATCTGTGAATGAGTTGTGAACTGTTCCGGCACCCACAACCCTCTCTAAATCTATTCCTTGCAGTCTGTATGATCCTTATAGGATTAGTGCTTTCATTAATAATAATAATAATAATAATAATAATAATAATAATAATAATAATAATACTTTTAATATTACTACTGCTACTAACTAATAATACTCAAATTAGTTTAAAATACATAATTTCTCCCCACAATACACATTTACAAATAAATTAATAACAAAAATTATATCATTGAATACCATGAGCCGCCGCGTCTTACCTGCGGAGCAACAGCAGACTTGCCCTCCTCCTCTGAGCTGTGGATATCTTCTTTTGGTGTCTCACGCTGCTGGGATCTCTTGTCCTTGGGTAGCTCCTGCGTGTTTTGCTTGAGCGAGAGAACTTTCTCGGGGAGGGCGTGGCCCTTGCCTGTCTGAGGTGATACGCTGATGGTGTGTACAGCAGCGTCATGAGTGCTGCTTCTGGTCTGCGGGCTCGCTGTGGCTTCGCCTTCTTCAGTTACTCCGACGAAGGCTGGATTGTCGTGCCCCCACGAGGCGATGGTGTCGTCCTCGTCTTCATGTCTCTTTCTGTATCGTTCACCTACCACTGGGCTCTTCGAGGAAGGCATCGCTCTGTTTCCTCCACCAGTTGAAGCTCTTCCAAGCAAGATCCAAATATAAGGCAGCAACAGCCTTCAGAGGCACTCGTGAGCGATCGTTCCTTATTTTCAAAAGGCAATCACCGTATCATATTTAATGTGAAGCGCAAAACCCGTGTAGGTTATTAAGCACCACGGCTAATGGAGGTTCAGTGGTCCGTCGGCTAATCACTAAAACAAAGTTACAATACCGCAGCCACTCTAAGTTACCTCTGAACAGCCACTTCAGTTACCTCTTCGCGCCGTCAAGTCCAAGCACTGAGTGGTCACACCAGCCTCCCATGGAAGGCTGCGCTCACTACCTTGTCTCAGCACCAAGTGATCTTACCTAGCGTGGAGACTCCATGACGTGGGAATACCTGATTGGCTCTTGCTCTTTTATGTATATATTTTTTATTGCTTTTGTTCTCGTTGTAACTAACATTTTTTTTATTTCTGTAAGAAAAAGCATGTGTCCTTCAAAATATATATTTAATTTTGTGTTTTGATGAAGTCCAGACAGTTTTCCTTCAGCGACAACCCTCAGGGAAGGTTCCTTGATGTTGGTGAGGGGCTCTTGATTTAGGGAATTGGATCTGTGCTCCAGTTCCTCGAATTAAGCCTGAAATACCTTCCACATCCCCCCCAGGTGCTGTATAATCCTCCGGGTTTAGCGCTTCCCCCTTGATTATAATAATAATAATAATCTTCAGCGACAACCAAATTCATTTTTTATTATGAATTCTTACTAGTTACATTTACCCATTATATATATTTTTAATATCATAACTATTAAACTAAACATAATAATAATAATAATAATAATAATAAATAATAATAAAAATAATAATAATAATAATTATTATTATTATTATTATTATTATTATTATTATTATTTTCATAAGAGGCCTTTTAATTATATGCAGATGGAGTCTATGAAAAATTGCATAGAAAACTGTTTAGAAAACTGAGGTTGATTCAACCTCCCTTCCCCAGGCGCGCATTTGAATTCCACAGGGCAGCACGAGACCAAGATTCAGAGCTAGTTGGCACTCAACATGCAAACAACCCGAAACAGAAGGAAGATGCCAAGTGATAAAATCCTTAATGAAGTGATTAGGAGAGGGGAACTGGCTTCCCCACTCGAGAATCATCCTCAAGTTTAGATGCGGACAAACCTAGTTCACACACCCGGTTTAAGGGGGTGACCACGGCGAAGAAAAACTCCAGGGTGATTTCGGGGTGAGCGAAACGTATAGGATACAAAGCTGGAGCATCAGCTGGCTGCTACCCTACTGTTATAATAGTCCACACGTGGGAGAACCAAAAGTTAGCTAGATTTCTTCCCCCTTTCCCTGTCGTATGCCATTACACAGGATGGGTCATACAGATTGGGGAAGGCCAAAGAAGACCGCAGATAGAGTATAGGCTTGGTGGACAAAGACTGCAAATCTCACTCAAGGAGAAAGATCTTGGGGTGACCATAACACCGAGCACATCTCCGGAGGAACATATCAACAAGATAACTGCTGCAGCATATGGGTGCCTGGCAAACCTGAGAATAGCATTCCGATACCTTAGTAAGGAACCGTTCAAGACACTGTACACTGTGTACGTCAGGCCCATACTTGAGTATGCAGCACCAGTTTGGAACCCACACCTGGTCAAGCACGTCAAGAAGTTAGAGATGCAAATTACTGCGTGGAATACATAAGGTGGACTAAGAAGGATGTTCCAGAGAGGGGACACAGAAACAAGGGGTCAAAATTGGAAGTTGAAGACTCAGACGAGTCACAGGGATGTTAGGAAGTATTTCTTCAGTCATAGAGTCATGCGAAACAAAATTATTTGGTGTTTCTGGTAGCGCTGGTTTCTTGCTGACTCTCTCAGCGGCCTAGACTCAGTCAACAGGGTGACTCCTATCTCCTCGCGGCCATGGCCCTCCTGGGCCATGGGGACTTAACACACGGCATGGGCACCCCAGATACCGCAGTTAAAAGAAGTGTCCTGGAACCACATCTGTAATTGAACCCCGCTTCCAGCATCACCAAACAATCTGGTTATAAATGGTGGGAAGAGGTGGTCGCAGCAGTTGTGTTTGCCTGGAGAGAGGAAGGAATGAAGTTGTTCACTTCATCACCCTGCAAAAAGCCCCGTCTCTCAACGATTACCTAGTGGTTTCATTTTTTCACCCGACACAGGTCAAGAGGATCTACCCAAAATTTCCGAATTTCTTGGGAAAATTTGTAAGAGGCGTCCGGCCCCCACTCACGACCCCACCGCTCCCACAAATGTGAAAAAAAATTTATTTGGTGTTTTGGTAGCGGGGAGTAAATGTAGTCTTGAGGTTTTTTTTTATTGAAAAGTTGGGTGGGTAACAGTTGTGTGTTGTCCCATGGCTAGGGGGGGCAATGCCCAAAGGAGAGAGGGAGTAGATTTTGCTGCTTTGGGCCCGTGAGTGAGTGAGCGAGGGGGCCCCAGCGCCCCTGACGGACCCCCTGGGGGCACACTGAATCCCGCGAAATATGAACAAACGGGAAACCAGAAAGGGCTGTCTATGAGACGACAGGCTGTTCGTCCGAAAGGGGAATCCCTAGCAAGTGATGTAGTGGGGGCAGGAAAAAACTGTTTAAGAAATAAAAATAAGAAAAGGAACACTGCAAAGCCTACTGCCCCTGGAAGCAGGATCCCCCCCGGCCTGAACAATGCCCCCTAGTCGGTCCTTCCCCTTAAGGAAGGGCCGCACCCGACCCGGGGAGCCCCCAAATAGTCAGGTCCAACTCACACCCCCCCACAACCCCTAAAGTATTTATCCAATTATTTTTAAAACTACACAAGGGCTTACTTCTTTTTGGTATGGGAGTTTTTCCATACCAAACTTGGAGATGGGGGTAGCGAAGATGGAGTTCGGGAATTGACCGAGGAAAACAAAAAGGATTGTAGTAGTCCCCTTTTCGAGTCCCAGGTCAAAAGGGTCGTGGTCGTGGCGGACAGCAGGGGACGACGAAGTTGCGTCAAGAAACGAATGGAAAGCCGAAACGTGAAAAAGAAAGGACTGCGTGGGGAAATTTGTGAAACCTCCCAACCCTTCCCCGGTGTACCGACGAATGTGAGTCCTACTGGGCCCTCAGAGAACGACAAAAGGAAAGGGAAGATTTGTTTTTGGGGAAGCCATTAGTCATGGTAGGGGATTTGCTTGAAGGACAGGGGGGAGAGACAGAGGGTTTTCTTTCCCGGGCGGGATGGGGGACATTTTTTAGCCGGCTTGACAACATCATGAACGGTAATGGGATCAATCCTATTATTTGCCTCAGTGCTGGAGGCAATGATGTAGGCAAGCGTGGAAGTGAGGATTTAGTTAGAAAGTTCAGGACAGCTATAGACATCTTTTATGAAGAAGGGGGGCCCTGTTATATGTGGCATTTTGCCAAGAAGAGGGTTGGTAATAAAAGGGTTGTCCAGAGCAATTGGAAATTAATTGTTGGCTGGATAAACACTGAAAGGATAATGCAGTCCCATTCATTGACAACTGGGACAACTTCTATGGCCGAAATGACATGTAGCCAGGGATGGGGTTCACTTACCCAGGCAGGTGTGGGTTTTTCCTTGCTAACTCAGTTGAGGGGTTTGTTGGGACTTTAAACTAGGATTAGTTAGAGGTATGGTTTAAGAAATGATAAATAATGAGTATGGATAATTGACTTATGCTCTCATATTAAGAATCTTAATAGTAACTGCCCATGGAGTAACTTTTGGGTAATGAAAATTTCAGAAATTGTGTAAAAACAAAGATGAATAGGAAAAATGTGCAGAGAAAAAACATATGATGGTTTTTTAAATGCTAACAGTCGAAGTGCAAGAAATAAAATTTAAATGAACTACGTTGGTAGCATGTGCTGGGAACTTTGAAAATCATTGCTTTAACTGAAACGTGTATGATTTAAAGAGTCGGGATATGATGCTGAGTGTAATATTCAGGGATTTAAGTTGTTAAATGTGGATAGAATTTTAATGTGAAGGGGGGAGGATTTTGCATTATATGTTCGAGAAAAATTAATTGTTGCATAAAACAGGTATAAAAATAGATGGAGCAGTAACAGATCTGTTTGGGTAGAGTTTTTTAGGGGGTCAAGAAAAACAATTCTAGGTGTAATATACCGACCTCCAGCTTGGATCACGATAGAGGGAGACTTCTTTGGGACGAAATTGTTAGGGCTTCTAGACACAATAACATAGCCCATAGTAGGGGACTTTAACTTTAGTCAAAATGACTGGAATTCTTTGACAGGTAATCTAGAGTCCAGTGACTTTATGGAAACAGTTCAGGACGTTTTCTGAAGCAGAGAGTGACAGAGCCTACCAGGGGTATAATTTGCTAGACCTAGTCTTGTCAAAAAAGGAAACCCCTCATGAATAATTTGGAGATCACTTTAAGAGCTTGGGGCAAGTGATCACAAATCCATCACTTTTAGCATTAACTGGGAATGCAAGAATAATGATAATACAAGTAAAAATCCCTGATTTCCGTTCTGCTGACTATAATGGACTTAGAGAACATCTGTCTAATCTTGATTGGGGTTATCTAGCAATGATTTTATTGGCGATGATCATACTTATGATTATGAAAGGATCTGCTTTTATGATTTTTTTCTTAATAATGTACACCGGCCCAGAGTATATACATTCCCAGAGAGTATTAGGTCTAATAATAAAGATCCCAAATGGGTTAACAGTAGGTTAAAGCATCTATTAGGGGAGAAAAGGAGAATTTAAAAGGCACATCAGAAGAGGAGAGGTTAACCTTACTGACCAATATGTTCAGCTTAAAAGAGAAGTAAAAAAGGGATTAGAAAGGCTAAACGTGACTATGAAATAAAAGTTGCTAGTGAATCAAAGACTAATCCAAAGGGGTTCTTTCAAGTGTATAGGACGAAGGTGAAGGAAAAAGTAGGACCTCTGAAAACTGGGAATGGACAAACTGACGGGTAACGAACTGGAAATGTGTTCCTTATTTAATGACTATTTTTTCATTATTTACACAGGGAAAAAGTAAAAGAAATTCCAGTAATTAACAATTATTTAGTTTTCCCGATGAATTTAAATTAACTTAATATTACTGTCACGAGGGGACATGGTTATTAAACAGATAGACAAAAATGAAGCAAAATAAGTCCCCGGGGCCCGATGATTGTTTTCCAGGGGACTTAAGAATGCAAGATTTGGGGCTTAGCAGCCATTAACGAGTGTGTTTAATGCGTCCATCCTTACCGGTTTGTGCCAGAGTTGTGGAAGATGGGTAATGTGGTTCCTATATTCAAATCAGGGGA